GTGTGTGTGTGTGTGTGTCTGTGTGTGTGTGTTTGAGCTGACCACTGCAGAGACCATCAGCAGTGATATGTGTGAGTCTGTGAGTCTTACACAGACTCACACATTAAGGTTTAGGTTATAGTTAAACACTCAATATACCAAACCTCATATCTCTCATATAACACATCTAATAATCCCAGAAGTTTGTGTCTCTCATATCATCTTATCAGCTTCTGTTTATAAATTACTGCAGGTCTCAGAAATTAACAGCAACCAGCGTCACCACAGGCCGAAGCAGCTCAGTCCAAACAGACAGATCACCTGCAGAGATGGTTCGACTGATTCTGATCTTCAAATCAAAATAATAAACTCGACTTTAATAAAACAATTTTGCCGTCAAACATATTTCTTTGTTGTAAAATTCTGGCCGCATGTAATTTATATATATTTAAAGATGTAATCAAATGTTTCAAGACTTAAAGCTGCAACAACCTGACGAGTAAACCGACAGAGAATTTCCTCCCTCAGCTGCACAAAGCTTTTTAAGCTCTTTTTATTATTGTGTAGTTGAGTCTGTTTTCAGCAAATGTTGCTCTGTGAAATATCAACTGAAAGGTTCATACTGTGAATCTGAGTGCACTGCTTTGTTTCTGCTGCCCCCAGGTGGCCAAAGAATCTACACTTTATCACGAAATTCCAAGAAATCCAGCACTTTGTGATGTTTGTTCATTTATTTGCACAAATACTACAACACAAATGTCGACACACAGAGAAATGGTACTGATGTGTCCGTTTATGTGTATTTTACGATTAACAAACAGTTTTCACAAAGCACAACAACGTATACAGCAGAAAAGATCCGCTCCACATTTGAATCTCATGCAGCCTCAGGTGTCGTTGCTTTAAATAAATAACAAGTGGTAACAGTGAACGTGATGCGTACGAGTCGTTGTCGTCTCCTGCAGCTGAAAGTCGACGTTACTAAAGAGTTTTACTGTGAGCACGTTTTAATACGAGCAGACGATCATGTGAGCGGTAAAGACGACAGTGAAGCACTTAATTTATCCCAAACACACACACACACACACACACACACACACACACACACACACACACACTCATCATTCCACTCAGGTCCACAGTGAGTACTGTAATACACTGTATAATACGACAAGCACTCTGACTAATGTTCTGTCAACACACACACACACACACACACACACACACACACACACACACACACACACACACACTTCTTGGCTTCCATGTTTCTAATCCTTTTACAGTCTATGTCACACTGACATACATTTGGCACACACACTCTGTCACCTAATCAATGGTAATGGAATCACTGTGTATCCTGCCTGGTAACACAAGCCGCTCTGTCATTAACATGCTAACCTACACCTTCGGTCACACGCGTACACATGTTTGCGTGTTGGAACATGTATGAACAATCGTCACCGCACTCCGCCAGATGTTACACTGGAGACAAAGTCACTGTGCCGCCAAAATCCCCACAAGAGTGGCGGATAATTAATATTGCACCACAAATTACGTTTTTTATATAATAACCAATTAATCAAATGACGGTGTTACGTGTGGGAACCACTCGTAGAGATGGAACCACAGAGGATTAACAACTCCGCACTTCTGCACAGTTTGTAGCCTCATTTAGTTCATGGTGTTTTACAGATGAACACTGATTCTCTGTCTGCACAGTTTTAACTCAGTCTCACACTGGCCATGTAAGAGCTGTGAACAGGAAGCAGGATTGTCTACGCTGCAGGTGGATGATAGCTGCAGAAAATACTACGAACACGAAAGAGTCAGCAAGAGTCAAAAAAAGTAGGATAGTAAGAAAAGTATGAAAGCCCCAGAGGTGAGAGGTATCTCACTGTAAAACAGGTAATGTTGGAATCAGGTCCGTCACTTTAAACAGGTGAGACCCTGCATGTGTTTCCTTTATCTGATTGGTCCTCTCAGAGAGTCCCTCCCCTTATAAGAAGGTGATTGTTTGGGGAGGGGGCAGGACTAATAGAAACAGGAAGTGCAGGTAGTGTGAGAAACTGTGTTTTTAGAGCGTTTAGGTCACTGAACCTAAAAATTGTGTTCATCTGCTGCGTTGCTAGCGCGGTGCTGACGATGTGTGTATTGACTCTGAGGCTCACCAGACAGTGTACGGGACCACGTTTGGACAAGGTAAAGACACCGGCATTGAACTGGTGAGTGACCTTCTGTTGTTCAGTGAGTGAAGACATCATCTGCTCTGAGGTACCACACACACACACACACACACACACACACACACACACACTAAAGCTGCAACATTTGTGTTTATTGCTGACTTTTGTTTTTAGCCGTGCTCAGTCGGAACCTGTCCGTCTGGAATGGGCTGTTTGCTCGTGGTTATGTTCTGGAGCTACTTCAGAGTTATTCATTGTTTTTAGAGTGAGTCCTCCT